TCCTGTCCCTGGTTGTCCCTCTTAGGGAAAGGCTCCCTGTGCACCCAGTCACCCCACTTTTCTTGTTCTCAGCATCCATTCCTGGCCCTCCTGTACTCTAAAATCTCTTTTACTGCTACCCAGGTTTTGACCACCATCAATTCTTTGCATTTAGGCAATGGCCTTTCCCTGGCCACCCTGTCACCACCGGTGCCCACTAGCCTCCAGTCCCTTCTTTTCCCTTTGGCTGAGATGATCTTTCTCAGGTCCTTCTCCAATCTGGTTACCTTTCCAGAGTTCCCCAAGTCCACTGGACCCTATCCAAAGCACACAGGGCTCTGCATGATTTGGCCCTCCTAACCCCATTCTTCAGTTCTATTACATTATTGTTTTCAACTTAATTTTTTGAAGAGATGTTACACTTACATAGCTCAAAAATGATACATCTGTGAAAGCATGAAAGTCTCTGTTTCATCCCGTTTCCTATCTGCCTGGCCCCCCAGTGGTGATTTCTGCTATTAGCAAATTACAAAGCTTTCTATAGTCTTAATGCAAGTCAAATAAGAATTTTAAAAACTGTCGTAAAACGTACATAACATAAAATTTAGCACCTTAGCCATTTTTTAGTTTGGTGGCATTAAGTACACTCACATCATTGTGCAACCCCTGTCACCGTCCAGCTCCAAAACTTTTTCATCTGAAAACTCTGTTCCCTTTAATCAGTAACCCCACACCAGCCCCTGGCAACCACCTTTCTACTTTCCATCTCTTTGAATTTAGCTACCTTAGGTACTTCATGTAACAGGAATCATGCAACATTTGTCTTATGTGTCGAAAACTGAGTTGGATTCTTGGACATCCTACTAGTGTCTGAGAATCGCCTGGTGTGTGTGTTGGGGAACACACCCCCATCAACATTGGAACTGGGTTTGGAAACTAATAAAAATTTCCTAATGACTTGTGATGTTGATCATCTTTTCATATGCTTATTGGCCATTAAAGAATTATTTTCTCATTTTCCCCTTTACTTATGAAAAACATAGCATACAATACACTGCCCCACCTCTTGTTTCCCCACTTTATAGCATATCCTAGAAGTATTTCTGTATCTGAAGATAGAGAGATCTCTCATTCCTTAATAGCCACACAGGAGTCCATGATATAGACAGTGGCTAATTTAACCAGCTGCCTGTTAACAAACATTTCAGTGCTTGATCATACCAACAGTTCTGAGGTGACTAGCCTTGCACGGATGTCATTTCATGTGCTTTCAATTCCCAGAAGTGGACTGGTTAATCAGAATGTAAGTACAATTTTGATTTTGATGGAAACTGCCAAATTACCCTCCCCAGGGATTGTACCGATATGTACTGTTAACCTGCTGTGCAGAAGAGCCACTGTTTCTCCGTAGATTCAGTACATGAGGGGCTAGCACACTTCAATTTCTGCCAAGCTGATTGATGAAACATTCTCAGTGTGGTTGTAGTATGTTTCTCCTGGTAAGGGTGGGGTTGAACATAAAGGATCATGTGCACTCCCTTTTTCCTTATGAGTTTCCACACTACCCATTCTTCTCTATCCTCTAAATCTACCAAGTATCCTCTCTCATCCAGGTTTTTCCCCTGTAATTCTGCCAACAATATTTCCAATGTCACCGCCTCCAGAAAGCCACCTCAGGTGTTTCCAGTCTGGATCAACCCTTGTTTGGTTGCCATTTTTCTGAGTTCCCATATACTCTCTGTACATCCTTATCATGCCACATGGGTCTGTACTGTAAATATTCAAAGTCCTCTGGAAATGAGTAGGAAGTCGAATGAGAATGAGAGAACGCACACACAGTGATACATGCAGCGTGCTCGAGAAGTTGGTGGCTGATACTAACAGCCCTCAAATCAAACCCACTTCCCTTATATCAAGCAAGGCCTGCTCTGTGCATAATACACCACATAATACGCTTTCCTTTCATTACCTCACTTGACCCTGACAATGACCCTAGGAAATGGGAATTTTTATCCCCATCTTGCAATGGGAAAGCTGAGTGCTCAAAAGGGTATTTAGTATGTGGCAGGGATTCCAAGGGTCATGGTCTTGGTCATTTGGCATAAATAACCTGCATCACTGGCATATGACCATGAAAATTAAATTCAGGCGAAATGCCCAACAAGCCTTTGCCTGGCACACCTGGGTGCTCAATAAATACTTGATTCTGTTTGAAGAATGGCTGCCTCGGAATAATTGTTTTTTTCTGACTATAATCTGTTGGGTGGAAGAAAGTAGTGCCCACCTTCCAATTCTCCAACCCCCACTGATTCTAAGGGGTGGAAAATACACTAGACAGAATTCAAAGCTATTCCAAGTATTTGAACAGAGGGAATGAAGTATAAGACATCCTTGCTGTCAACCTAGCAGCCACTTGAATCCAGACAAAACACAGGTCACTCATGTCCCTTTTCTCTCTTTCCACCTTCACTGGCTCCCCAACTCAGAGTAGAGCCAAAGTCCTTGCCTGGCCTGGGGGTCCCTCATCCTCTTGCTCCACCCTGTCATTTCTACCCACTTCTGGTTGGAGGGAACTCTTCATATGGTCTACCTAGAGGCAAGGGGGTGCTGGGAAGTGCAGAGCTTGGCTGGACAGGTTCCATCCGCCCACATTCCATTGGTGGAAAGTGGTCACATGGTCCACCTGGAGCAAGGGTGGCTGGGCAGTTTCCTCTTAGTAATAACTGCATCCTGAAGACAGCATGAATCTTTGTTGGGCAGTTATCTCTGCCACTTTGTGTGACCTTGGGCAAGTTATTTAACTCCTCTGGGGCTCAGTTTCTTTACCTATAAAATTGGGCTAATTGGCCAATTGATGCAATAGGATCTCCCTGTAGTTGTGGTCATGATTGAGTTGAAATACACTAAGTGTCTTGACTTGGGACAGAGTGAGGGCTCATAATATCCCATTTATATCATTTGTTTGAGAACCTACTTTAGGTTACATACATATAATCATCACCGTAGTCCAAAAGGTGCAGACAGTCGTCATGCCTGCTTTACAGAAGAGGGTGAAGAAGTCCACAGAAGGGAAGTGAATGACCCAGGGCTATGCAATCAGGGAGCCACAGAATCCGGCCTGGTAGGAAACAGTCTTACACAACAAGGACTGTTGGAATTTTTGCTAAACAGCCTCACACCCAGCCTCTGTCTGCATTTGCCACTAGAAATACGCCAGAACATCAGGAAAATTGCCTAATGTCCTGACTTGGTCCTTACACTGCGGGGCCCCGGCCTGCCTTTCCACCCTCACCGTCAATCACTCACTCTCCTCTTCTCCACTACAGTCTAGTTACCTACCTTCTCGCTAGTCCTCACAGAAGCCAGACTTGATCTTACCTCAGGGACTCTGTTCCTGCTCTTCCCTCTGCCTAGAATGCTCTTCCCACAGTCCTTTCCAGGGCAAGCTCTACGTTGTCATTCTGCTCTCAGTTCGGATGTCACCTCAGGGTGGTGCTCCCTGATCCTAGCTCAGTCACTGTCTCATCAGCTGGTTCTCACTCTCCACCCAGAACCCAGCACTATCTTTTGTGTTCATGTACTTGATTAGTGTCGGCCTCTCTCACTATGCCGTGAGCTCAACAGAAGCAGTGGCCTCATTCTTGAGGGTCTTCCTGTGTCTTTCCACCTAGGACAGTGCCTGGCGTGAAGTCCAGCTTCAGGGAACATTTGTTGACTAAAACAAGATGCTTCATTGACTGCCTAGGACCCTATGTTCTATGTTGCCATCCTTTCCCTTCTTCCACCAGGGACAAGCTCAAGGCCACCCAGACCTCTGGAGGGCGCCATTCACACAGCAACAATGTACAGACTTACTGAGGGCTCTGTGGCCATCTTTTCCTCAGTATTCATTCATTCATTCATTCATTCATTCAATATATAGTTACTGACCGCACTAAATTCACATTGGTTAGTATAGATACAGTGGAGAAGAGAAACATGTTTTTATGTGGCAAATTTTAAACTTGCAAACACAAAAATAGTATGGAGTTGTCAAAAAAACACATTTCAATACCTGTTCATTACTATTTACTATTGTTCTCCCTGCTCTCCTCTCCCTTTCCTCTCCCTGTCTTCCTCCGACCCCCACATCCAGCCTTTGCTGTCACTGACAAGTGCCCCAGCTGCCCTGTCTCTCCCCTACCCAGTGAGCTAGAGCTGCTTTGCCCTGGTTTGCAAAGGCCGATTGTCAAATACTTAGGAAATTTCCAAGCTGCTTTTAGAACTATTGGTAGCTTAAAACGAGACAATGTAGGAGTATTTATGCCACAGAAATAGGCCAAGACACGAGGCTGGGTTTGCTGATGCTCTTCTCTCAAAATCTGGTTTTCTCGCACACGCTGTTCCATCTCCTTCTGGCAAAGACACTTGGCTTGGTCAAGGAATAGCCCAAGCCTTGCATAAGTGTTTAGTCAGCCCTCCAGCCCCCTCCTGGGTGGAGGCAAGTGGAGACCCTGGTCCTAGTTGTGCTGGGAGGGCAGAGGAAAGAGCCCGCAGGTAGTTCCTGAAAACCCAAGGAAAAGGTGACCAATATAGGCAGGAAAGATGAAGAAGGAGAAGTAGGACTCTGGCGGGCAGAGGTTAGGGGAGCGGGAACACGGGGAGAGGCCGATGCCCACCACACAGTGTCCTCACAGGTGGTTGGGCGACTTCCCCACCTGGGGCCAGAAGGTGGCCAGGTTCCTATGAGGGATGAGGAAACTGCCCTGTCAAACCCCACTGAAACTGATGGCGGGCTCAGGAGGAAGGTGGGCTGGGCAGCCGGAGCTGTGGGGCTGGGGGCCAGGAGGCCTCAGTTTCTGTGTGGAGGGGCTGGGGGCTGGGCTCCTGGGTAGGTGAAGAGGAGAGGGCCCAGATTTCTTGGCCTTTAAGCCCTTGAGACTCAGAGGGTGGGCCCAGGCCTCCTTTAGCAAGGCTTCCCTTCCCCACCCTTTCCTGGGCTGTCCTGGGTGAGGCTAAATATAAAGGGCTTGGTTTCCTAGGAGAAAGCAGGGTGGAGAGTTCCCAGCAGCCCTGACCATGAGCCCTGCCCTGCTGGCCCTCCTGGGTGCTGCCCTCATGTGGCCTGGTGAGTGAGGGCCCCCTCTTAGGGAGGGCATTTCCCTGCAGGATGCACTAAGATGGATCTGCCCTTCCCATCTCAGGAGTGCAGGCCCTGACCTGTCAATGGGGGACATTCGAGACTCTGGAATATATGTCCCAAATGCCCCTCCAGTGGACGGCTGGCGAGAGAGTCTGTGAGGGAGATGAAGGTTGTCAGGACACGCTGGTGCTCATTGAAAATGGTGAGAAGGCCCCTTGGGCCCCGCGCCAGAGTCCCCTCTGCCGGGCAGAGACTTCCCTGTCCCTGCCCGGTCCCACCCACCTTCTGCGCAGGACTCAAGAGACCCCTGTCCTCATTCCCAGAGCTGTCTGTCTCCCCAGCGGGGGCCCCCCTGTGAGTGCCCAGCTGCCTCCTCTCCAGCCTCTCAGCCCAGGCCAGAATGCAGAGCCTCCCTCCAGGCCACACGAGGGCTAGTCCCAGTGGCATGTCCCCCTCTCCCCATCCAGGACCTCTGGTGTACATAGTGCTCACCAAGGGCTGCACCCAGGCCACGGATCACGAGGCCCGCATCACCAAGCACAACCCGGGCCCCGGCGTGTCTGTCATCTCCTACACCCGCGTGTGCCTCCAGGATACCTGCAATGACCTCCCCACCACCCTCCCTCTCNCGCCCCTGCCTCCGTCCCGTCCACGCTCCCCGGACTCCCTCCCTCAGTGCAGCTCCTGTCAGTCCTGAGCCCCCACCAGCGCTGACACCCTGATGTCCCACCAGCTACTCAGACTTCGCCCACGGCCCTGGCCTCTGCGCCCATTCTCTTGCTTTTGGGTTTGGTTCACTCACGTGCTATTTAGGGTTTGGGTGTCCTCTTCCTCGGCAAATTGTTCTGTAACTTCCCGCTGTCCTGTCTGGGATTACAAATTGGATTTGGGGTGATGTGTAGATCCTTTGTGCTCTGTGGAATAGTTTGTGACCTCGGGTTACCAGTTTCATGGACTGTTCAGTGGCACTTGGGGTGAAGCCTTGCTTCCTCCCACAGTGTGCCTCCCCATGTGTCCCCCCATATGAGTCCCAGGTGCCCCTCCCCAGGCCTTCTGTCCCCTCCCTCTCTACCCCTCCTCAGCCAGCCGTCCTTAATGCCCAGCTTGAGACCGGCAGGACAGGAGCCCGAGGTGGGCACTCGGGGGTGAAAGAGGGAAGTTGATTCTTGGGCCAGCAAAAGTCAGGTGGGGAAAAGGCCCCCGACCCCAGTCCACAGCCCTCAGCCCTCCCGTCCTGTCTCACCCCCAGTCCCAGCGTCCGTGAGGTGTCCAGTCTGCTTGTCCCCAGCAAGCTGTAGGTCTACCAGAGAGGAGACCTGCCCAGCCGGGACCACACACTGCTACAGCGGGGAACTGGTGTTTATCGGAGGTAAGCCAGGATTCAGGGCCCTGCGGGCACTAACTGGGGCAGGGGAAGGGTTCTGAGGACCAAGATCATCCTTGGGGAGGGGGGCCGCTGAACCTGGGGCCTAGGGGAGGGCAGGCCTGGCTCCAGGTGCTGCGGCTCCCTCTTTCTCTCTCTCCTCTTTCCACAGGGGGCATCGGAACCAGTGTCAGCATCCAGGGATGCGTGCCTCAAGAAGGCTGCAACTTGTTTAAAGGGACTCAGCATATCGGGCCCTTGGTAATGACTGAGAACTGCCTTCCTAGAGGTGAGGACCTGACAAGAAGCTGGGCTGTGGCTCCAGTGCAGCCGGGCTCAGGGGCCCCTAGAGAAGGCCTGCCCTCAAGCCCATCCCGAGGCCAGCACCCACACGTCACTTAGACGTGTAGGCAAAGGGCAGGATGCTCCCGGTGGGCACTTCTCCAGGGGTGCCAGTGGAGGTGTCCAGCTTAGGGGCAGGGTGAGGCATGTGGCCCAGGGGACAGGTAAATAGGACAGAGCCCAGGGTCCCGGTGGGAGGGCAGCGGGAGTAGGGAGGAGGGCAGAGGGGCAGAGGGGGCCAGATGCCCCACCCTTTGGTGCCCGAGCGAGTCCAGGAGCTCTTCTTGCTCCTGGGTTCAGATTGGGAATCCCTCAGTGCTGCTGGTCCTGCCTCTCCTCACCCCTGACTTGGGTAACTGCGGGCCTCCACTTCCCTTCGCCTGCCCCCACCACAGCTTCATCCCCACCTAGGGGACTGGCTGCCCCAGCAGGCCTGCTTCTGGGGATAGAAGACTAGAGAGAGAATCAAGGGCCTCACCGTGGCACAGAAAGCAGCAGCCAAATGGGGACACCGGGAGGGCCCCCAATACCTTGTAAACCATGCCATACCCACACAACAAACATCTACCACATACACCACACACACAACTGCTCACAGGCCATACACACACTCTACTCAGCAGACAGGCGTACCAGGCACATAACACATACCCCATACCACCCCAAACCCCGACAAATGAAGAGGCAGCCATTCCGGGGGATGGGAGAACAGCTCCCGCCAAGGAAATGGGGTGGGGGAAGGCCTGGTGCAAGAGCTAAGATTGCCCAAAACAGGCCAAGGCGGGAGCCCATTGAGGAAGCACCGAGGCCTGGATCGTGGGCAGCCTTGACTGTCGTCCTGTGGACGTGGGCAGTGGTTCCAGGAGAGCAGTGGGGTGAAAGTTTAGGAGAGCACAGCCTCCCAAAAAAGCCTGTCTGGATTGGAAAGATGCGGTTCCTGGCTGGGCTCTTACTGAATGGGCTCTGGGGATCATTATCTCTCTGAGCCTCTTTCTTTGAGTTCAGGGAGGATGGGATGATCCAGACAGCTGGGGGCAGGGGAGTATATGCAGAGGCCCTGGGTTGAGCGAGCGCCTGCTGTGTGTTCAAGGAAGAGTCCAGAGGCCAGAGTGGCTCCAGCAGTGTCACCAGGAGAGCAGAGCAGTGTGGATGGAGAGGTAGTGGTGCCCAAGCAAGGAGGGCCTAGGGGCCATTTAAGGACTTAGAATTTTTATTCTGAGCGGGATGGGGAGCTACTGGAGGTTTCTGAGCAGAGACGTGAATCGCCTTACCTTTTCTGAGGATCCTTCTGGCTGCTTGGTGGAGGACAGAGCTTGGGGAGGTGGGAGAGGGTGGGAGACCCACAGGGAGACTCGGGAGGAAGCACCTTAGAACCAAGGTGTTTGGGACCCTGGAGGAAGCCGCGGACATAGTTAATAAGTGGTTCCAGAAGTATGTTGCAGTTTAAGCCAAGGATCTGCTGATGGGTGCAACATGGGGTGTGAGAGAAAGGGACTATCAAGAGCTCCAGCAGTTTCCATGAGCAAGTGCAAGAAGGAGGTGTTGTGGCCCAAATGGGGAAGATGGGGGCTGGGGAGCGTGCCCCAGGCTCAGGGGCCAGTTTGTGGTCTGTGAGGTGGGGAAATGAGTGGCCACCTTCATGGGGCTGTTGAGAAGGTCACACACGTCTGCAGCTGGTACATCTCGGTGAGGAGCTTCTGCACTGAGGCACGCCTGCCTGGGGCTCATGGGGTGGCCCTCACAAGGTCCCAGCTCATGGGTTTGTGACGGCACTCCTGAGGCCCACAGGGTCTGAGGAAGCCGAGGGTGGTCATCTAGCCCATCTGCCCATCACTCACCCCAGGAACCAAAATGCCAGTTCTGAGCCCAGCTCTGCCGGAGACTAGTGGTGGGGCATTGGGCAAGCACCGTAACCGTCCTCTGCCTCTGTTTCCCATTTTGAAAATGGGCACGCGATGGGAGTAGCTGTGAGGAATGACGGAGTCCAGGTGAAGTGAGCCCCTTGGGAGTCTTATATGGGCTGAGCCAGGGAGCGGGACAGCTGGGCACCGAGTAAATGCCCAGTGCACATGTGGCAATGGAGGACTTTTGTTAGGAATATAGCATTTCCCATTAAAAGATACATGGCATCGGGCTACCTTCCTCATTGTCCTCATTGGTGAGGACCTTGATGCCCGGGAAGGGGAGCTGAGTTAGTCAGACTCGGGCTCAGAAAGAGCCCCAGTTTCTCTCATCCCAAAGGCAGAAGCAGCCCTCCTCCAGCAGCGTCAGGGAAAGTTCTCTGCGGGTGTTTGAACCAGAACAGCCTAAAGGATGGGAGTGGAACTCTGCCTTCCGATGTTTTATCAATGTGAGATTAGGGGACTCTGGGGCCAGGTCACCAGGACTGCAACCCAAGGATGTGATCACCTTTCCAAGCATGACACCAGGAAGGACAGACACGGCTGGTCCCTTGGCTGGAACAGGCCCTGGTATTCCTCCTCCTCAGGTTTACTGACCTGTCACCAGGGAAACATGCAGTGGACTCATCATAACCTGTCTCATGAACCTGTCAAGTGGCCCCCGCAGAGGCAACAGACCTGTGATACTGCGGAGGTGTGTCAGGAGACGCTCCTGCTCATAGATGTAGGTGAGTGCTGTACAAGCCTGCGGTCTCCCCACCCTGGATTCTGTCCCATGCATTTCCTGCCCGATTCCCCTTAGGCCAGGAGTTCTAAGCCCAACTCTTGCTCTTCTGTGCCTCAGTTTCCCAGTCTGAAAACAGGGCGAGGTGATGGCAAGAATACCTCCTGCCTGGCTAGGTGATAGTGAGGATGGATATAGGGGCCGGTCCAGGGAAAGGGCTGAGCACAGAGCCACCCACCAGAGTAACCTCGGGGAAGTAAATCTTCACTCAAGGTTTACTGAGCACCTAATGTATAGAGGGCATGTTGTAGGCACTTCAGATCCCACTGTGCCTGCCTCGTTGCAGCTTTAAGCACAGAGGATAGCAGAAAACAACAAAGAACAAAGACGTAAGATACGGATGGGCAGGTGAGAGCTATGGAGAGAGACGCAGCAGGGAGGTAGGTAAAAGGAAGAGTGAGATGAAGACTGTGATTTGAAACTGGGTGCTCAGGGGGGACTCACTCTGAAGGTGACATTTGAGCGACACTGTGAGAGGTGGCAGAGCTCGCGGAGGACTCAGGCACCGGCCCCAGCCTGGACCCCATACTCAGCAGGACCTGGGCTCTTGTAATCAGGGATGCTGAGCCCACCCTCTGCCTGCCTGCTGGTGATGAAGAACCCAGGGCTCAGCCTCCCTCCCAGCCAAGCTTTCACTGTCTCACCCTCAGGACACACGTCACTCATCCTGGGGAGCAAAGGCTGCAGCTTGGACTGGACGGAGCCTGCCCCCACTATCGCCATACACTCAGGGCCACCCGGCGTGCTCATCGCCTCCTACGCCCAGTTCTGCTCCTCTGATGGTTGCAACAGGGCCAACAGCACCAGCGTCCTGCTGAATTCCCTCCCCCATCCAGGTATGGGATCCTAAGGACAGAGCGATGGGCCCCAGAGTCACAGAGACTCTAAGGCTCAGGGTAGGTGGCTGCAGAGCTGTGCACCCTCAGCTTTCTCTCTGCTCCCCAGCTGTGCCTGCCCCAGGAGATCTGCAGTGTCCTGCCTGTGTGGAGGTCTCTGGGACCTGCGCAGAAAATTCTAAAAATATCACCTGTCCTAAGGGCACCACTCAATGTTACAGTGGCTACATTAGTCTCAGTGGAGGTGAGTACCAAAGGGCAGGTTCCAAAGATGTGTTGGGGTCCTGGATTCACTGGTCCTGAGGTGCAAGGGTGCATGAGGCCCTGACTCGTGGGTTTGTGGGTGGAGGGGGCTGGGAACCCAGATGTCTAGGTCTCAGGGAGGAGGGGACTGAGAGTCTGGTCTCCTGGTCTGAGGCTGGAGGGGGAGCGTCTGGGACTCCCAGGCCGTAGGAGGTTTAGTGGCCCACTTTGAGTCCTGTCTGACTCAGTGTTCACTCTCTAGGTGGGGCGTCCTACACAGTGAACATTCAGGGCTGCATGACCCAGCCTTCCGGCTCCTTGTTGAACCATACCTCTGATACTGGGGTCATCTCTGTACACAAGAGTTCTGATGGGAATGAAACTCTCCCCCAAGCCAGAGCTTCCCCTCCCCTCTCTTTGGCTTGGGCTGTTGGCCTTGGTCTATTTTTAGCCCTTTGGTATGGGGAACCCTCCATGCTGACCCTATTTCCAGACGATTCTTAGCCCCTGCCACACCTCCGCACCCAACCCTCCCTTGAACTCATAATGGGACCAGCCTTGGATGCTGAATTATTTCCCAGTCCTCTCCATGTATTATTATCCCCCCACACACCCACACACTTTATGACCTGATAACCACTTAGGGAGGGGCTTGGGAACATTGAACTTGCCCTATGGACATTCAAGCAGTGGCCACCTGTGTCTGATAACACCATCCTTTCCCCACACGGGGTTTCTCTACGTGAGGGGCAGGCAGGACACCCAGAGATCTAAGAGTGGGTCAGATTGCCAGCCTTCCCCTTGGCACTGGCTCTGTCCCCCTTCCTACAACTCCTCTCAAGCCACTTGAAAAAAGAAAATCACTTTCTGGCTTATTCTTCCCTCCCACCGCCTCCTCCCTTCTCAGTCACATATCTTCGGCCGCCTGGATACATTTCTTTGCTTCTATTTTTTCACCTTCCACTCACCCTTCCTTGCCCGCTTTCCATCGTCCCCCTTCTTGAACATCCCTCTTACCAAAGTCGCCAACATCCTCTTCCATTGCTACACTTGCCCGGTGCTCCTCAGGCTGGTGTTGCGGCATTTGACCAAACACCGTACTTCTTTCCTGGCATCAGCCCCCTAAGGGTAAATGCAAATCAAAAAGGAAAGAAAACTTCATCTTCCCTGGTACAAAAAGGGAAAGAGATCCCCCTTTATTTCAGATCATTTTCTATAGAAAATGTATCATTGAACTTTCTCTGTCTCTGAGAGGTGTATGGAAATTTTTTAAAAATTTAAATAGCCTCTTGCCAGTTTTGCAGCCCAGGGATGTCTTTCTCCAGACATGGCAGCCACTTCTTCGAAATGTAATGGCAAGGAAGGTCCTGCCCCCGTCTCCCAGGTTGGGGGCGGGGGGGCATGAGCCTGAGTCAGGCAGGCCCCTCCCTCCAAGTTGCAAAACTATCTCCATCAAAATATGAGAAGTTCATTTTTCCTTTGGAGAAAGCCTATTAGCTGACACAGCTGGCCACCCCATTACCAGGTGAATTTAGGATGAAGTACAGGTGGCAAATGGTGCTGTCCAATCTTCTTACTTGCGGACTAGCTGTTGTTTATCTTGAGAGCGTGTGTGTAATGGCTTCTGTCTCTGCATGGCCACATAAGGGATCAGCCTTCTTTCTGTCTTTGCAGTTCTTAGTGGATTGCCTGTGATGCTCATCCCATTCTGGCTTTAATGCTCAGTCAGTCATACAACTGCCTTTGATTCTCTCTTCTACCTGTGTGGAGGGTTTGGGGGTTTGAGAGGCGCCTTTCCTTTTAATTACATTCCCCTGGCACCCCCAACCTGGTGAATTTGGAAGACATCATCCTGCTCATCACTCCTGTTTTCAGCTGCTTCACCAGCCTTTAAATGTGGCTGTTTCCCAGGGTCTGTGCTGGCTCCTTCCTCTCACTGCCCACAAGCCCTCCACTCCCCGTTCATGACTTCTCTTCCATAAGCACGTGCCTCTCAAATCTCCAACTCTTAGCAGGACCTGGCTCCTGAGCTCCTGGCTTGGATGCCAGCTCCCTGTTGGACATCTCCACCTGGAGGTCCCAGGGGAAATTCTCATGATGGGCACAGTTTGTGTTCTAGCTGCCCAGCATGTAAAGGACTCTGCTATATTTAGGGAGTTTTCTACCTCTCCAAGGCAAAAGCCAGAAAATATTAAAAAAGAATGGACTTGGTTGCTAAAGGGGAGAGGTGGGGGAGGATGGGTGGGAAGGGAGGGAGAAGGGAATTGTGGGGTATCATGATTGGTGCACATGGTGTGTATGGGGTCATGGGAGACAGCATAGCACAGAGAAGACAAATAGGGACTCTCTGGCATCTTACTACACTGATGGACAGTGACTGAAATGGGGTATGGGGGGACTTGATAATAAGGGTGAATGTAATAACCATATTATTTTTCTTGTGAAACCTTCATAAGAGTGTATATCAATGATACCTTAATAAAAATAAATTTAAAAAAGAAAGAATAGACTAAGCATCATTTAACTTTTTGACAAAATTTGTCACTGTTTAATAAAGCTGAGGATACACATACCTTAATGACACAGCAATTCCATTCCTAGCTGTATACTGTACAAAAATGCACACTTGTGTACTAAGAATTTGTATCAGAATATCGTAGAAGCTGTCTTTGTAAAAACCTTTGTGAAAACAACCCCTCTACCACAGCATGGAAAGAAAATTAGAAAATACCTTCATACTAATGAAAACAAAAATACAACATACCCAGACTTATGGGACTGGGCAAAAGCACTATTAAGAGGGAAATGTGTACCAATAAATGCCTACATTTAAAAAGAAAATGATCTGAAATAAAGACCCTAACATGAACACCTCAAGGATCTATAAAAAGGAAAGCAAGCCTGTCACAGCAGGGCTGACCCGTGCCAGCCTCACTGAGCCCGCAGTCCTCTCACTCTCCAAGCTCTCACACTGGACGCCGCCAGCCCCTCCATCCAGCCAGACATCTGCCCACCTGAAGACGGGTCCCTCTGCAGGCAGCTCCTCCCTCCACAGCTTCCCTCCTTCAAGGGGCAAATGCCCACTCACATTCCTGGCCTTGCCAGAAGGTCCCTTTTCTCAGGGTTGCTCCGTGCACCTCCAGATCAGGTGAGACTCCATTCTATGCTCCAGTCCCTTTCCCTCCATGGCCCTTCTCCCCATTATAATTAACTCCTCAGTTCTGTGATTCCGTGAGTGCAGGGCGCCGTTGTGTCCTGTTCTCTGGAGTTCCCAGGGCCTGACACATCACAGATACTCAGTAGATAACCGTTAAATGGATGAGAAACCGTATACTGGAAGCATGTCACCACCTGTGTGACACCCGGGGAGAGACCATGTTCCCTGAGACCCAGGGGCCCTGACCCCAGCCTGGGAGGAGGCCAACAGGTGCCTGCCAATGTCCCAGGGAAGGGTCTTTATCTCTTGTAGAGTCAAGGAAGGATGGGGCTGCACAACAGTGAGGGCTCAATGCACATTCATTCCTAGAAAATGGGCACCCCTCCCCACCTCTTCTTGGAGTGACTGACCTCCCACAAACTCAGGCCCTCCACCCCAGGGGGAATTACCACCACGGGAGGTCAGAGCCCCACCCTGACCACAAAGGCCACGCCCCATCCTGGGGAGCCCTGTCTTTGGGGACACCAGCTGTGGTCCCCTGAGGATCCTGGGGAATGAGAGGAACGTCCCTTGCAGAATGGGACGGGAGAACCCAGGGTCTGCATTTGCTTCCACCTTAGAAGGGCTGGGGGTACCCTCGGGAACCTCCCTTCCCCTAACAGAGGAGCCCCAGGACCCCATGTTGGAGTCTCCAGGTGGAGCTGCAGCAGCCCCGGGCCCTGGAGTAGGCCTAGAGCAGGTGACAGAGCCTCCCAGGGCTCTGTTGAGGGACCACAGGGCATTCTGGGGCCCAGTCCCCCAGGCCAGTGCCCTCCCCCAAGGGTTTCAAGAGACACCCCACCAGGCCCTCCTTTTAAATCTCAGGAACAGAGAGCCCATCCTGAGGCAGCACAGTCCCCTGTGGGGTTGGTCACCCGACAGTGGGTCAGGAGTTCTCTGCACAAATCCTGTCCTTTCCCTGGACTCAGCCTGACTGGGGTGGAGTTAGGCAGCCTGGGGACCCACAGTGACCAGCCCCTCCTCCGGGGGTCGTGGCCCACCTCTGCCCAGCACTCAGGGCTGCCTCATCCCTTTGAACCTGGTCAGCCTCCTTGGTGCAGCCCCGACATTGGCAGCAGGTCTCCTCGTGCCCTCCAGGGGCAGCATCGGACTCCGAGACGACACAGGAAATTAACACAGGAATCTGGCTTTGATGAAAGAGGTGGAAAAGGAACCTCATTTACATCCCTTTTCCTAACAGAACCTGCATGACCCTCCCACAGGCCTGTTCTGTCCAGCCGGTCCTTGTAACAACCTGGGAGCACCCTTCCGTCGTAGGGGACGCTGTGCAGCTCCCTACCTCACCTGGTACCACGCATGGGGAAGGCAGGGTGAGTGACCTCAGGGAAGTCCACCAGGCAGAGGACACGGGCTGCCCAGCATGTCCCGGGAGCACACGACAGGCTCTAGAGCCACGGCTCAGCCAATAGCCATGGAGAGGCAGGGTCTCCCTCCATCCTCACCCCTAGCAACAGGGAGCCCCCAGCCACCCAACCTCCCGCAACTGTCATCTCTTCCCAGCACACGCAGGGGACCTCCCTCTTCACACCCAGGACCTGCACTCCTCAGACACCGGGTCCTGGGCCTGTGCCCGGGGTCAGAGGCCAGGCTACTGATGCCCAGGCACAGAGGGTGGGACCCCTCCTGGGACCCCTCCCCTCTCATCACCCAGCTGGCTCCTTTCTCACCCTGCATTCCTCTCTGTGACCTGCCTGCTGGGCGTCTCCTCCCAGAGCATTTAAGATCAGTGGGAAGACCTTGGTAACCAGCTGTTTCTGTGTTCCAAGGGAAATAATCCCTTGGGTTTGGGGACTCTTGGGGCTGTGTGTATGGTGTTGACAGAACCAAGCTCAGGACACAGCAGAGGTCACACTGGGGTGGGTGGGCGAGCTGCCCTCGCAGGGGGAGGGGGTCTCCATCAGCCTTGTTATCCAGTGTGGTTATCAATGTGATTTTTATTAAGACACAGTGTCAGTGTCCCACTGGTGGTTATTAAGACACAGACCCCAGTCCCCTCAACACCTGCCGAGTCAGAATCTGCATTGGAACAGGGTCTGCACAGCCTCCCTGAGCGCAGGAGAAGGGGACAGGCTGTCCCACGCCGCACATCACAGGGCCTTAGCCCGGCTCAGCATCCACGTCACCTGAGCAGCTCCTAAGGCAGCATTTCTAAGGCTGTCACCTGGGCATCTGGAAGTGTTTTCAAGTCGCACGGATGATTGCGATGCACAGCGGGGACATCCTGTGACAAGAAGTCTTGATGTAGCCCCCAGTCTCCTGCTTTGGAAGGAAAAGCCTGATGTGGAGGTGCGGGGACTGAGGGGAGGCTGACTGTGCGCCGAAACAAACGCCACAGGCTTGTGCTTATTCATCAAGGGCGTGCTTTTGTGAGTGTGTGAGAGTGTGTGTGTGTGCGCGCGCGTGCTGGGGAGTCACAGATGAAAAGGAAGTGGCCTCAGGAATCCCCCAGCCAGATGTAGACAAGGGGGAGCGGAACCACGTGGGAGGCAGGGCTGAGGGGCGGGGAGAGGGAGGGTCTCAGGCTAGACCCCGCCCCCGGCCCACGTGACCCCGCGAAGCGCTCCACCCCAGGAGGACAGATGGAGGAAGGAAGGCAGAGCCGGCACTTGGGGACGGCCGTGGTCCGAGCGGCTCCGGAGCAGCTCTTCTCACAGAGGCGGGGACAGACCGACAGCGGACACCCTGGCGCCCCCCGCAGCCCCTGTCCCCCGAGGGCCGGTCCCCTGGCAGGGGCTCCTGCTGGCAGGTGAGAGGGGACGATTCCCGGGGAGTGGGTGGCAGGATGGGAGACAGAGAGCGGCTGGGGCCTCCGGGGGAGGACAGGGCTCCGAGAGGGGCCGCGGCTTCCCTCTGCGCCTGAGCGGAGGGGACAGGGGCCCAGGGGCGGGCGGGTTCGTGGTCCGGAAGTGGTGAGGGGCAGGGAAATCTCAACTGCTGTGAGGTTTACAGGTTATTCATCTCTGAGTATTGAATTATGAAAACTGAGAAGAAAAATAACAATGTGAGGTGACGCTAAAATTAAAATAAAACCATAACCAAAGGCAAATAAATATCGCCCTTTCTCACCAACCTCAGATTTTGTCATATAAACCCCAGGAGGGACACGGAGGGCCTGGGAACATTGATTCATTGCTGCCAGGGTACTTGCAGCCTGTTCCACCGCTGGGTGCAGCCAGATCAGGCGGGCCCTGCCTCCTGGGGCTCACGTTCTACCGGGAGGGAGGCAGACACGCAGGGAGATCCAGGATGTGCTGTCAGGGGCAGACAAGGCCGTGGAGGGAACAGAGCAGGGGCCGGTCAGAAAGTGGAGACGGAGGGTCTTCGGAGGAGGTGGTCAGGGCAGGTGTCTCCCAAGGATGCCCTCAGTGTGTGTGGGCCCGAACCGGACAGACACTGGGAAGAGCATTGCAAACAGAGGGGCCGAGGGGCTGAAGTCATGGTGGTCGTGCTCCTGACCTTGACCAGTAGGAGACACACACACATACCCAAGACTGAGGGATGAAGAGCCCTGCTCAGGACCCAGGGCCCCATCTTTCTATCCCAATAATAGGTCCCCGTATTGATGGATCTCTCCCTCTTTCCTCCTAGTCTCACTCTTAACCAGGACCCTGCCCACAACTGCCCAGCTCACTGTGGAGTCGGTGCCGCCCAGTGCTGTCCAAGGGCAGGATGTTCTTCTGCTTGCTCACAATCCTCCTGAGAGTCTTCTAGGCTATGTCTGGTACAAAGGGAACCGTGTAAATTTCAACTCTACTATTGTATCATATGAAATAAACAAACAAGCAATTACCCCGGGGATCGCATACAGCAGCCGAGAGACAATATACCCCAATGGATCCCTGTTGTTCCAGAATGTCACCCAGGAGGACACAGGATACTACACTCTACAAGCCTTACAAGGAAGTCTTCTTAGTACAACAGCAACTGTCCAGTTTAGTGTCTACCGTGAGTGATTCCTCTCTGACCTCTGGGTGTTGGGTGGGGTGAATTGTACTTCACAATCAGTACATTGACTGGTAGAGCTTTCCCTCACGTACTCACCACCCCCTGCTCCCTGCCTGCCCCCCTCATTCATTTCTGGATTCCTAGTCCCTGCAGTGCCATTCACGGGGTCAGGGTGTCTGGTCAGTCTCACACAGCAGGACAGAATGCCCCACCTGCCTCTATGGGGTCTGAGTCTGGAACTGGTTATTTGAGATCCTTTGAGATTCTATGTGAGTTTTTGGAAATTTCTTTCTCTACAAAATATTTCATTGGAATGTTGGAAAGGATTGCATTGAATCTGTGTGTCTCTTTGGTGGTATTGTCATCTTAACTATGGTAGGTCTTCCTATTCGTGAACATGGGATGTCTTTCCATTTACCTGTGGTTTTGTAAATTTCTTTCCACATGATTGCTAGATTTCCCTACACATGTCTGTTCCCTCATTGGTTAAATTTATTCCTAAGTATTTTATTCCTTGCAAAGTTATTGTAATTTCAATTGTTTTCTTAATATCCGTTTTGGATAGTTCATTTTTGTGTGGAGAAACACACCTGATTTTTGTATGTTGATTTGTGTCTTGCAACTTGGCCGAATTCTTTTGTTAGTTCTACCAGTTTTTTGTGGAATCCTTGGGGTTGTCTACATGTAAGTTCTTGCCATCTGCCAACATATGTACATAACTGTACTTCCTCCTTTCTGATTTGGATGCATCCATTTCTCCTTCTTGCCTGATTGTTATGACTGGGGCTTTTCTACTGTGCAAATGGGACACTGAAAGTGACATCCTTGTCTTCTTCCTGATCTTAGAGGAGAAACTCTCAGTGTCCCACTTTTGAGTGTGGTGCTGGGTGCAGGCCTGTCACATGAGGCCGTTATTATGTTGCAGTAGTTTTCTTCTATTCCTAAGAATGCCAAGATTTTGTTAAAACTGCAATCATGCCTTTCTAGAGATTTCCTTCACTGCTATATTCAGTTCAAGACATGGAAGTAAAAGTCCTCTTCAGAACTAGAGTTTCCTTTAGACTGAAATGGTTGATTTCCTAAGGTTACTAGGCAGGGCATCCTCATTCCCTAATAAATTATTTAACCTGAAGTAAATGCCTTCCCTATTGTACGTAAAGCTGCCCTGCCCCAGAGATGAACAGGGCTGGCAAATCTGCCTTTTTCAACACACACAGAACTGTGTACAAGGATCAGGGCCTGAAGTATTCATGTCACAAAAGCCGCAAAAGAGTCACCCAAGAGTTCACTGGGGAAAAAAATACCTCACCATGTGTGTCACATGTGGGCTAAGATGGGGCTCCTGGTAATAGTACTACAGAGATGTCAGTGGAGATACAGAAAATGATGCAACTCAGCAGGGGTTATGGGGAAGATGTGGTGACAACACCCTACCCCCACACAGACTCAGTGGCATTTCCTTCCTCCATAACCAGGCTACTGCCCTCCAAGATCCCTCCAGTGTCCTTGCAAACTACTGAGGACTTAATCCAATTTCTCTTCTTTCAGCAAACGAGAAAGCCTCGGAGTCCTCCCCGTGGACTATCCCCGGCACTGTGATTGGGGTCCTGGTCGGGGTGGCGCTGGCAGCTGCCCTAGGGTGTTTCCTGTTCCTCAAGAAGACTGGAAGGTAGGATGGCATCTCCCCAAGCTGATCCAATTCCGCCAGCTACCCCAGGATGGCAAGAAGGGGACCCCATCCTGGGACGCTGGGCTGGCTCTCCTCTGCCTCCAGACCCCCTGTGGACATTCCTCTGACTCCACCCACCCCTCCCTCACCAGATGTTGACCTGGGGCACCTCCCACCAGCTCCCTCACCCTGACTTGAGGCCTGTTTAAGGATCCACCCCTCAGGGTAGTTCTAGTTCCCTCCGCAACCCCACAGCAGTGCTGGCCTGATGGGACAGGCCTAGTCACATAGGGGCACCACCTTCAACGGGATCCAGCAGGCCCGAGGGTCCTGCGCACAGGGTGGCCCCTGCTCTCCCTCGGGGCTGTGACTCTTCCACCCAGTCAGCCTTGTGGCTTGGTTCCATTCCTGGGTCCTGGGCCCTCTCCGCCAGCCCTCTCCGAATCCTCTGCTGGCCTGCACATCTCCCCTCTGGGCCGACATCCATGTGGCTCCTGAGGCCTTTGCTGGGACCCCCCTACTGGGCCAGCCGCTTTTACCCAGCATTGCAGGGGAAAGGAGGCCTCTGCCCCCTGATGGGAAGGAGTCCCTCCGTGTCCCTTGTTCTGACACCAAAGCTGTGGCCTCTCCCATAGCCCCTCACCTAACAGCATGACCTTTCCTAGGGCCAGTCACCAATGTTTACTCAAAGAGCTCGGCCCTCCAGCACCCACCCCCGGTGAGTGTCCATTCAGCCCTGAGCAGCTGGGAGCCCGGGCCCTGCAGCACAGTGTCCAGTCCCACCAGGCACCCCCGGGGCTCTGACCCTTTATCTGGGGCTTCTACACAAGTGACCCTGAGGGCCAGCCAGCCTGGACCTGTGCATTCTGGGTCCCGGGTCACCATCCGGCTGTCACTGGACCCTTCCGTGGCCAGAGGGTCTCACTCTGAGAGGCGCTCTTGTCCCCTGGTACTGTGGGAGCTGAAGACTCCAGCCATTCCTGGGAGGGTGGGCCTCGGCTTCCCCACACCCCTGGATGCCAACTCCTGTCTCTGCTCCTAGGCCAAAGTCCCTCCAGCAGCTCCACCTCACCGGTAAGCCCATCCCCACCATAGCCCTTCACCCGAGGTCCTGGCTGCACAGTCCGGGGAGGGGTTCAGCCAACCTAAAGCACAGCAGTGAACCCACCCCCGGAGCAGCCAGGACAAGATGGGCCCCATCCCGTCAACATGGCCCCCTTGTCAGGGGGCAACCACACCCCACCCTGTCCTGAGCCCCACTGGTCCCCTCAGTCAGCATGAGCAGAACTCTGGAGTCTACCAGGGCCTTTAGTCAGGGGTCCCAGGCCAACAAGGTCAGGGTGGAGCTCGGTGTGGACTGCAGCTGGTGTATGGGGTGACAGGCTAGGATTTGGCTCCAGTGGAAGCAGATTTGGTCACTGCTGAAAAGAAATGACACTCCGTCCCTGTCTGCTTTGCCTGCTCTCCACCCACTCCAGGCCCCACTACCTGATGCCAGGGCAGCTGTTCCCATCTATGAGGTGAGTGTGGGCAATGAATGCTCTGGTCCCACAGCCCCAAGGGTCCCAGATGCCCCCTGCCCACCCCCCTGCTGATCTACCAGGTTCAGAAAAGGACAGCAGAAAGGGAAACAGAAGGTGATGGGAGGAGGGAGGGCTCTGGGGTCAAACCCACTGGCCCAGCCTGGTCCTGCCTAGAGCAGCCCCAGGTGGACGCAGGGCCTGGCAGGTGCTGCACAGGTTCTGCGAAGGTTCCTGGTGAGTGTTTGGCCTCTTCTTCTTTTACAGTGTTTGTCACACCCCGACACGAACATTTACTGCCGCATCGACCATAAAGCAGATGTGGCTTCTTAGTTTCCTCCGTCAGCTGCTCTTTAAGAGCTGTGGCAGGGTCCGCCTGACCCCACTCCCTGGCTAGGGTCACAAGCTGGAGCCTGAGCCAGCAAATCAGCTCTGAGCCTGGGGATATTCAGGGATCCGAGGCCAGGTTCCCGACTCTCCTGATTTCTGCAGACCCCGAAGGGCTGCCCTGATTCCTGGGTGGGCCAGACAAAGGCTCCCATCCCCCCAGGAAGTGGGGGAGCTCCCAGGGATGGTGACCTGACCCTCCTCCACCACCTGAGAGGGTGTGAATAAAGAGGACCCTTCACCTCTTTTGTCTTTTGCTCTGAATGGGAACATGTCTGGCAGAAATTCACCTGAATCTCTGGTCCCTTCTCTCCTGAGTCACACAGGGGTAATTTTATCTCTGTTCCTGGGAAGGAGGAGGGTGAGGGGTGCAGATGGGGCTGGGCCATACTAACAGGAAAGGGAGAGATCACAAGAGGTGACCCAGGCAGGGGCGCACCCCCCCATCCGCAGCCTGCTCAGGACCCCGGGCCGCGGCCACCTCCCAGTGTTTGCCCCTTTGCAGACACGCACTGGGTCTCAGGTACACAGAACAGGGGGCCATCTGATGTCCGCAGGAAGAGGAGCAGCCACGGGCAGCAGCCATGGGCAGGACCCACACCTTTGCACACTTCCCCTTGGCAGCTTCTCTTTGCCCTGAACTTGGTGCTCCCGGCCCTGCTTCCCATCCACTTCCCCTTTCCTCCCTGATGTGGACCTCATTGAGACACGCCTCCAACCACATATGTGGGCCCATGTCCCAGAGGGAGGGCTCCCCCACTAACCCTCCCGGGCTCCCCAGCACAGGGCCAGTGTCCCTCGTCCACCAGGGCCGCGGGCCTCCTCCCACTGGGCCTCAGCTGCAGCCCCCACCACACATCCGGGCCCGCAGTTCCCAGTCCTTCCCCGAGGACCTGGGGCGGGTGCTGCTCCCATGTAGGGTCTGAGCACCGAGGCGCAGAACCCACAGTCTCCAAGGAGGTTCTCCCATTGCCCGAGCATCCTTGCATGAGGCGAGAGGTAAGGAAATGACCTACAAAGTGTCACATTCCCATTTAGCTCAGATGCTCCTTATCCCGATGCACCGGGTGTTGGGTTAGACAGAGTGATGCGTCTTGTTGATTTCCTATTGCCACTGAAACAAATCACGACAAACTTCATGTGCGGTTCAGCACAAATGGAGATGTCCCCCGAGCTGCATTCTCTCTGGAGTCGTTTCCTTGGCCCGTAAGCTGTGTTCCTGGGCTGGGGCGCCTTCCTCCCTCTTCAGAGCAGCAGTGCAGCAGCCTGAAGGCTGTGATCTGCTTCCATCCCACGTCTCCTACCTGCTCTCCCGCTGCCATCTCCCTCCCTCACCTACAGGAAAGGTCCCTTGTAATTATATCAGGCCCACTGGGTAAACCACCGCAACCTGCCAATCACTGGCCTGAATTCAGTGTGTAAGTTTCCTTATGCAGCATATTCACACACGTGGGGGACAAGGCTGTGCCCGTCACTGAGGGCCCATGTTCCGTCCTCTGCTCCTCTCAAGGCCATGCTCATCATCTTGCTGGCCTAACTGCTCCTGGGGCAGTTCCTGCAGTGATGCCCATAGCCCCTGACTGCCCTCAAGGGTGGAGACAGAGCCAGTCCACACTCCCTGAAGCCCTGTCCACCTCTTGCTTGTCATTACTGCTCATCTGCTAAGATGAGAGAGTGCCTTGATCCCCACTGGACCATCGGGTCCCCCGAGCCATTGGGTAGCGGGATTGTCAGCACCATGGACAGCGCTCCAGCCTTGTCATTCCAGGGCTGCAGCAGGGAGGACACCCTGGGAGGGGCTGCTGGAACGGCCGCCCATTTCTACTGGACACCAGACACCAGGAGGCAGACTGTGTTACAGGGAGAACCCGATTCTGCTCTGATTTATTAATCAGGAATCTCTGCACATCCACTGCAACTCCCGCATGGCTGATCGCTGCATCGTAGTAAGGCCTTGGGGAGGCTGAGGGCCTGCTGGGGCCTCTCAGGAAATCTCTCTGCCCCTGAGAGTCAGGCCACTGTCTTGTCTACAGCAAGGAAGGGTTTGTGATGAACCTCTGGCCCTCGGTGCTGACCTTGGAAACACACCTGTTACCCACATGGAGCAGCCCGTGACCTAGCATTCTGGTCCCTGAGACCCAGCCTAGACCCCCAAGCAGCCAGTTGCATAAGCATCCCCCAAAAAAGATTTTCCTATTTCCTTTCTGTTATGTGTTTTTATTTGATTATTGCTGTCAGGGAACATACTCTGTTTGATTTTGATTATTTTAGTATTGGTTAGATTTTAGGTAGGACATCAGACATAAGCAACAAAGAAAGGTCGCCCTCCGGCTCCTCCAGGCTGAGCCCCGCACCTGGTGTCAGAGGCCTTTCCCATCTGCTGTCTCCCCACTGAGCCCGTTTACCTCTCAACGGACAGGGTGGTGTGAGGACCAATCTCCCCAAACCAAAAGGCTCCACTTGACTTTAACCCCAGGAGAAGAGAAAAGACTGGGGCCTTCACAGCCACCCCATCTTCTTCATTCCTGTTTATGTTCTACCCACAGAACCAGTCTGACTATATAGACCCAGCCCTGCCCTTTCTGGGGTCTCAGGTCCAGTGTATCCATGCAGGGTGCCTTTGTAAAGTTCACCTTGCTGCTGTTACCTTTATTTCTTTCCTGTTCTCAGTTGCATTCATTTTGCTGTT